GCAAAGCAACCTCATATCCATTTTCAGCTGCCAATTGTAAATATTTCTTAAATTCTTTAAGGTTTGCTATGTTATCTTTTTCATAAATGAGGAATGCATAATTATATTGAGCCTTGGCTATACCATTGTCAGCTGCAATTTTATACAATTCAATTGCCTTTTCTTTGTCTTCTTGACTGGCTTTGCCTGTTTCTTTGCCATGTTGTAAATAGTGTGCTTTCCAATAAATTGCATTATAATTATTAAGTTCAGCATTTTCACAAAAACATTTCCATGCCCTTTCATAGTCTTTTCCTTCTTCATAAGCTTTCACTCCTTCATCTAATGGTATGGGAGGTTCAAATAAAGTTTTTTTAACAACTTTAAAATCTGAGTCCTTATCAATGTTATGATGCTGAATTTTGTCATTTGAAATTTCATCTTTAGCAATAAATTTAGCTACATATTTAGTATTTTCAAAACATTTCCATGAATCCGCCAATTCATTTTTTATTTCATCAAAAGATGGACGATTATGGGGTGAATGTTCCCAGGCTAACAATGAACAATAATTATAAATTATTAAAATGTTTATTGATGTAATGATTATTATTTTTGTTATCATTTACCTTTATTAATAATTTGAATTAAAACTTGCTGAATTTTGATATTGTGCACTCCAATTTTTATAGTTTCTCTTTGACCACTTTTGACATGTTCACTAATACTAATTGCATTCATTTCTTTATATGGAATTTGTTGATAAGTAAGCTCCCAAAGAAACATTCCAAAGCTGAATGAATGGACAAATTAATAATTAGTTAATGAAATTTTATTTAAAATCATTTCTATCCATGTTTACCTAAACATTTCACAATCAAGATTATAAAGTTGAGTTCCTGATTCTATCTTTTCAGGAGCCAACCAAGGAATATAGTCATTTAAATTTGAAATTCTTGAAGTTTCACCAGATAGATTACGACTAAGTTCAAAATTTGAAACTTTTGCATTTCCATCCTCATCAATCTAAAAAGAGTACATGTTGGTTAATGTGTGCTAATGATGTTTTACAAAAATAAATATAAAACTTACTAATATATTTTCACATTTAACATCATGATGTAAAATTTCACCATTATGCATAAATAAAAGTCCTCTAATGACATCATATGAAATCTTTAATTTTGTAACCCAGTCAATGTAATGAGTATTGTACAAATCTTTTAAATTGCCCTTTTCAGCCCAGCCAAATATCAAAGCATTATGAGAATTTACATTGGAGATACCATAAAATTTAATGATATATTTACATTGAATAGCATTTAGTATTGCAAGTTTTGCTTGAAATTTTTTTGATTCAGAGGTA